TATATATACTGTCAGTGGTCACAGCTGGAAGTCAGTACTTGTATCAGCCCCAGTAAACACCAGTGAGAAAAAAAAGGGTAAAACCAAATCTGACAACATGTTTGACAATATCTGTGTGGCTGTAAAATCAATATTTAATGTAAATTGGTGGTTTGTGATAAGGTGTCAGTGGGTGGATATGATAGCCATGTAAGTAAAGGTATGTCTGATACTGAAGCAGTGTTTAAAAAACTGATGTAGCAGTAGTTGTAGTCTTGTTCACTCATCCTTTGATGAAATATTCACTGTTTTAAATCATAATTTCTCAGGTTTTATAGTTTAGTATCGTTATAGGTCATACCCACTCTACTATCAGTCTTAGTAAAGGCATTAAATGGGCTGGAAAGTCTGGAAAACTGCATCTCAGACAATATCCAGCCGTATGTCTCAATAACAAATCAATATGTTCTCTAGCTCTAATGGCCTGCTATCACTCCCACATACGCCCATATGAACGTCTGCGTCCTCTGTGTGTTGGCGTCCACAGCAGGCATGGCAGATGCAGAGCTGGACTTCACGACGGGCGACGCTGGGGCATCCGCCACCTACCCCATGCAGTGCTCGGCCCTGCGCAAAAATGGCTTCGTTGTGCTGAAAGGGCGACCCTGCAAGATCGTTGAGATGTCCACCTCCAAGACCGGCAAGCACGGCCACGCTAAGGTCAGTAATTGGGGACGCAGTGGAGGCTGGAGGCCGAGTTCAGGCTAACGAAGATAAAGGACATTTTTGTGTGGATTTATTGTACGACAGTGTGGACTGATGCTGACACACATATCTCTGGAATAAACACAAGGTCACATTGGTCGATATTAATGCACATTAACGGACACTGTACAAGAACAACACTGTGTTCCTGTTGGGTTTCATATTTAGTATATGTATTATAAATGATGTTTTAACATGATGAACCTGGTACACGTATTGATAGCCACCTACCGTTATTAAAGGATAGAAGTTGCTTTACGCATCGGACACTGAATGTTTTAAACTAATTAATAAGATGCAGCCAGTGTTAAGCCACTGCTCATCCTTCCTGTGTGTTTCTGTGCCCGTGCAGGTCCACTTGGTTGGTATCGACATCTTCTCCGGTAAGAAGTATGAGGATATCTGTCCTTCCACCCACAACATGGACGTCCCCAACATCAAGAGAATGGATTACCAGGTGAGGCCTTTAGAGGTCTTTACTGCTCTTACAGCAGCTTGTTATCATAGTCTGTTTCATACTCGCAAATTACCGACTAAATATAACAAATGTTTGACTAAAAGTCCATGTGGTAGGAAACTTAAAGCTCCCTCCTCTTAGTCAGTAAGTCATTTTGAGTTCAGTAACTTTTCTGGAGATGTAGGGAGTGAGTTGAGCGATAGTCACGTCTCAGATAGAACAGTAATATTCACAAATATGCTTTGGTTTTTTAATAAGCGCAAGATTGTACATGGCTATCGGGGGACAATTAGCACTTAGATGAATATTTGGAAAAGCTCCATAATTATTAGTCAGGAGTTTCTGTAATGGCAACAGCTTTACAGACGTAAACACACAAAGAAAGACAGAGAAGCATCTGGTACTGATGTCGGTGGAAAAAGCTGGTAATGTCTTTGAAATCGTACCGTGTTAGTTTATAAATGACTGTTTTGGAAGCATGTGTTCAATCTGGTGCTCCAGAGCACAAGAAGAGAAAATTATATATGGTTTTATTACCATTACATAATCATGCAGTTCAAAGCATGAATCAAATTAAAAAGTGTCTTCATACTGTGCTTTCATGAGCTTGTTAGAGGCAGTAGGAGATCTGATTTAGCTGCTTCAGTGTTGCACACGCTGGCTTATTGTCGCCCTCTTGTAAATTACTGGGACTCTTTAACAGAACAGAGTCAGTCAGTGTCTTTAGTAACACCTGTGCCTTTCCTGCTTTGACCAATCAAAATGTCTGCTTTGAAAAAGGTCTATATACCTGTGTTAAACCTTTCCAATACAAAGAAATAGATGTTGATTTGTATAATAATCATACATTTTTTACCCTAAAACATGTCTTTTAGTTTTAGTTTAACCTGCCACTGTAACTAGTTGCCTTAAAAATTAAAGAAATCTAAATTTTTATATTAACAGTGGCTTAAATGACACACCCAACACTGCTTTTCTCTCCAGCACTGTGGAGTTAGTTTCTTTCAGCTTCTTGTTTTGGTTTTAATTCAGTCCCACAGCTCTCATCAGCATGATTTACAGATGTAGGCAGCTGTTCGCAGCGAAAAAGCTCTGATAAATCATACATTTCATCATGCAATTATTGTAAATGATACAAATATAATTTAATAGGGCTCTCCCAGACTTTTCCAGTAGACTAGTCATTGAACATTTATGATATTAATCGAATTATTTCAGTATATATATTTCAACAGTCGTCTTTTAACTGCCAACAGAAAAAGCTGTAATGAACTGAAACTGAATGTTTCCGAACAACCAACAAAGAGACTGAACATTTAGTTATTTTATTTAAACACTGTATAACATCACAGAAGTTTTGTTCAAAAAAAACTTCCAGCTCGCAGTGTCATCCCTGAGTCATAGTCCTGGTCGGAGCCGCTGTAAACACTCTGATGGTGTCTGAGGCTGTGTTCGAGGCTGCTGAGCCCGGCTCCGATGCCTGCTCGCCCCTCTCTGGCTCTGTTGCTCATTCAGGCCCCACCCTGCTAGTGGTGTAAACAAACTTCCCTCGGTACTAGTGGCCTCGGTAGTGGCAGCTGATAGTGCAGTTAGCACATGCTGCAATGCTGTGTTACAAGAGAAAAGGTCTGTATTGCAACAGTTTAGTCGACTATTAGGAGACAGCCCCAAAGTATTAGAATAGTTTAAGTAGGCCTGTATTCTTACACTCTATTGTATATAGAGTGAAGAAACCTGATACGTCACTGCAGAGGCTGTTGAGTAACACTGATCAAACCGGTCGGATTGAAAAGGTGGAACGCCCATACACCTGTCAGGATGTTTGTGTGCAGAATTTAAAGAAATAAAGGAACAGAGGTAGAAGATAACATCTGAACGAATCAACTCAGACTGTGTCCACTCACTCTTTCCTGCTGTTTCTTCCAGCTGATCGGGATCACAGATGGCTACCTGTCCCTGCTCCAGGACAGCGGGGAGGTGAGAGAGGACCTGAGGATTCCTGAGGGAGACCTGGGCAAAGAGATAGAGAGCAAGCACGAGGCCGGAGAGGAGATCCTGGTCAGTACCTTGTACCTGTATTCTTCTGCTCTGAAACGTCGCTGTTATGGCGGCGTCTGTCAGGTTGTGTGGAGAGCATCATGAAACACAGTAAGAAATAAACATTACAGATCGCCTCCAGACGTGTATTACGATATACATTAATTGTCTGAGTGGAACAATATATACATCTACTCTTTCTATTTAAAGATTACAGAATCTATGAATATGCAATTTTTTGTTAGTTTGCCGGTTATGTTCTAAAGTTTTCCTGTTGGATAAAAGACGTCTCCGACTCTCCACTCTCAGTATTTGTGCACTGGTGGATCACAGTTATATAAGTTACACACTGGACCAGGACTGACCTCCAAACTATTTGTGACGTCACAAATCAGGACTGTAACAATATATTGGGAGACAGTTAAATTGCGATACAAATACGTAACAATTAAAATCAGTGAGTTGTGATACTCTTTTTAAACAGCAGGGGGTGCTGTCTAGTTTTGACTTCGGTTGTTCGTCGTCCTTCGTCACTCCAGTCAGGAGCTGTATGAAAGGCGTAAAGACATTAGTTTCACTTTTTAAGAGTGTATAGAGTGTGTACCCTATCTCAGAAATATAAAATGATTCTTTAATTTCATCAATAACATATAAGAGAAAATACATTCTGTAGATTTTTGTCTGAGAAATAAAGGAATCTTTTTCAGTCATAATTTGTACTCAATCTCAATTGTTAAAAAACAAAAGAAAATCATGTTGTGAATTGTGTTGAATTAGGAGTTGAGTGTAACTTTCAGCAGATGATCCTTCTAATGTCAAACAACTGAAAGAACAAGAAGAAGAACAGATCTTTGAGTGGAGCGGGACTGCAGCTAGCAGACTGTCTGAGATGTTGATTTAAAACAGAGAAATCAGAAATCAAATCCTCACATTTGAGAATAAATTTCAACTAATCAATGAACTGACTGATGGTTTCAGCATTAAAGGTCCTTTAACTAGGACGTAAAGCAACTCAAGCTACACGATACAATTTGACTTCAGGACGCACTGTTTCTTAACTTCATTTTGAAATTGTAGCAGAAAAATCAAACCAAAACTTCATCTTTTTATAAACGTTACACACAAAAAGCCAAACGTTGGTGCGGACATGATCTAAAAGTAACCCTAACCTCTCTCCTCTGTGCTCTTTCAGATCACCGTTCTAAATGCAATGGAAGAAGAAGCTGCAATTGGCATCAAGGCCTTGGGTAAATAAGCCACTGCAGGTAAATACAGAGCTACAGCTGTATCGACACGCAGCTGTCCTCTCACACCCCCACACCCCCCAACTACCGCCTGACCCAAGCCTGCCTGAAGAGGAGTGTGTGTGCGTGCGTGCGTATGTGTGTGTGCTTGGATGTTACACCACAAGCCACCAGCATGTGCCATGCCAGTGCAAGTGTGTGTGACGTCATGTAAATGTACAGTTTATTGTTCATCAGTGGACCAAGGGGAAGGCAAGTCCCGTCAACAAGAGCCGAGGCTGTTGCCGAGGTTTGATGTTTAAAGGTTTTACTTTCGGTATCATAAGGGGGAAAAAAAAAAGAAGAAAAGACGACGTTGTAAAATGTTATTCACAATTATGCACATCCATGATACTGGAAATATTCATGTTTTTACATATTACTGCATTGCAAAAAGGATTTTATGTATATATTTGTGTAACCAGGACAGGAAATTCAAAGATTTCTAATTGGGGAAATGTAACGAATTCAACGAATGTATTCAAAAATCTGAAGCCTGTATGAAGTGTGCCACTGCGGATTTGCCTACCCCTTAATGTACCTTTTTGTTTCATGTTAACACTATTACGAGCATGTGTATCGTTTTTACGTAGCACTGTCGGATATAAATGAAAAGCCTATGGTTCATATTGTATTTTTGAGCGATGTTTTCTGTGGGTTGCACTTAATTTTACAGCCTGATCTAGCCAGTTGCTTCCTGTACCCCCTACTTCTCTGAGAAATGGCTTGTAGCATTGTTGTAATTGTTGGGTCAAACTGTTTTATGCACTTTCTTTCCTGCACTTTCTCCTGCGGACTGTGGGCTGTAGAATAAAGTGTCCACACACACACAAAAAAAAAAAAGTTTAACAAACTGTTGGTTGTGCAATGTTTCCTCTGCAGAGGCTAGTTAAAACACTGTCTCATTAAAGTATGTTTCTCGTGTTTTTATTTTCTCTTAAGCACCTTCCCTCTCTGACTTTTCTTTCCTCTTTCTTCTCATTCCTCCTAATTCTGTTTCAGGGGCAATCGAGATGCACTGGACCTGGGGAAAAGGAGGGGATATTGCCTCGTCAATGCTATTCTCCCTCTTTTTTCTTTCTCTTTCTTTGTTTTTCATACTCTCTCTCCCTCACTCTGTTTTCTGACCCTCCTTTGGGTTCAATTAGAAACTTTAATAAATAATTGGAAACGGTAAACATTCTCTATGTACATGCACACATAATAAAGCCACATCTGAGTAAAAGATTTTTAAAAATGGTCGTAGAGGAAGGTCTCTCACTAAGGACTGAGGAGGTCTACAAATATTCAGTAGCTACCTGCCATCAGGGGAAAGAAAGGTGGTGATAATGTCACAACTGTTTCGTTTTTTTATATGTTCCCCCTGTTCTATGAAGGGCTTCAACTCTAGATCTGCATTGTTCTGTTGAAACTTGTCTATTAAACAAAGGTTACCAACATGGCACACAAAAGGTTCGGTTTCTTTTTGTCTCCAGCAGTTAAAAGCGTCAAAAGGAAACAAAACTCTGCTTAAAAAAAAAGTCCTTCAGCCAAACCTCAATTTCAACTTCAGCCACTCCTTAAAACCCCCTCTGCACACAGCCGTTTGGAGAAATGAGTATGAATGAGTATGTTTGGCTCCATTCAGGAGGCAGATAAGTTTGGTTTCCTTACTTTGTGTTCAAGTCCAAACTGTGCAGAATGTCTCCAAAACACAATAAAGACAAACTGTTGGACGTGACGTTTGCTTATCGTTTTATTTAGCAACATAAAGGCTTTGAAAACAGGCTTAAACTTCATTTACTGTGGAAGAGGACAACGCCAAACACTGAAAGTCCTCCATCATATTGCCAGAAAAATGAAAGTCATCTTGACTTAATTTGTGGTAACAAACCTTAATGGGTCTAATGTGATCGACCAGAAGTTAGCAACACACAGAGATACAGTCTATTGAGTTACATCAAAGCAGCTATAGTAGTGTTCATCAGTGTGTGTGTGACCTTAGTGGAAACATGTTGATTTGATCCATGTATTAGAAAGTGTTGCTGAATATTTACCTCTCCTGTGGTTTTAGCTGCAGACACTGACGCGTCCACTGATGCTGCAGTTATGAATGTTAGTATACAAAGAATAAGCTCTGGTTCATGCAGTCTTGCTTTATACAAGATATTAACATAAACACCTCCAGAATGGCTTTACAGTGTAGGTAAAATAATCTATTTTACAAATTAACATCATTTGAAGTTATGTAAAAAAAAAAAAAAAAAAATCAAAAGCACATAAGCATGAGGCAGCTGATCAGCTGATCACTCATTGAAGTCAAAACAAAATACTATACAGGAAATAAAAACAAATCATGTGGCATAATCCATCCTTGATGACTTTAAAGAAGTCGATCCGTTCCTCGTCCAATCGTTTCTCCAGAATATCCTGAATGAAGTTGTGAAATCTCGTCGACAGTGAAGATGAAGGTGGCTGCAGGTTACTTGCCGTGGTGGTAGAACCTGTGCCCGCTCTGGCTCTGGGGGAGGAAGTTGTGGCGAGGAGCACCCTGGGGAGAGCTCTGGAACGGGGACTGGTGGTGGAAACATCACAACAGCATGATGAAATTATTCTGTCAGACAACGAGATGTAGGTTTTTGTTTTTACAGTAAATGAAGTGCTCATTATGAGCGGTGTAGAAAGATATCAAGAGGAAGTACACAGTTTGAAAGGTCAGTTGAATACAGATTACGTTTAAATACTTTAAGTGGTTCGCAACACTGAGGGAAGCCCTTCAGATAGGAAAACAGTGGCTCAATGTGAGGCTGCGATGCTTATTACACGCTACAAAACAAAACTATTAGATGGAGGGAAAATAGAAGAGACAACTTTACTATTGAGCCAGAGGACAGCCTGTGCTGCTACAGTATACTGCTTGTGTGGCTTAAGATATGCACACAGGCTCAGAAAAGCAGAACACTGTTCCTTTCACTATAGTGAGTGAAGTTCAGTGGCTCAGCATTAGGGCTGAAATATTTTCATTTTTTATCATTTTCTTGTCTAATCAATTAGTTGTTTGGTCCATAAAATGTCAGAAAATGTTTCCCAGAGCCCAAAGGGGGCAACCTCAAATGTATCAACGACCCAATTATATTCAGCTCACTATCACAGAGGACTGAAGAACCCAGAAAATATTCACATCAGAGGAGCTGAAATCAGAGCATTTGGATCTTTTTCTTTAAAAATGACTTCATGATTAATCCATTATCAAAATAGTTAGTGATTCATTTAATAGCTGACAACTCACCGAATTATCAACTAATCATTGCAGCTCTACCCAGAATTAGAGACGAAGTGATGAACATCAACGGAAGGGGTTAATGAAAAGAGTGGGGTGTGTTTTAACCTTTGCAGTGGGAATCTGGACCGCCATGGATGGAGTGGGCAGCAGACCTGGAGCAGAAGGATGCATGGCTGGTGGATGCATAGGCCTTAAAGCGCCCTGTGAGAGCATCAACACAACAAAGACCGTAATAAGATGAAGAAGTAATGATTTAACACAATCCCACCTTTCAGAAAACAATATCCAGCACTTGTTGTAACTGTTTATTTCGTGTCTATTTAGAGTTTATGGGTCTTCAGCCAAACTACATTTGAAATGTTCTTACTGCATCAGTAAAGCCGGACTGCTGGTTGGCGTGTTCCAGCTGCTTCTGGAGGGGTATTCCTGCTCCAGGGATGTATCCTGCAGGAGAAACAGAGATTACCATTTATAATCTAACAAAACATCAAACCCTACATCCAGGTTGTTTTACAATACTCTGCATTTAGGTTTTGGCTGTAATTGACCGTTATTAAGAAGCAATGAAACAGCAGTGGGAACACAGGGACGATGAGAACTGAGGCACTGACCGGGCTGGGAGGTGAAGTGACTGTGGACGGGGTAGGCAGGCTGCTGGTGGGGGAGGTACTGCATGGCCTGAAACGCAGACGCACCTGTGGGAGAAGAAAAACTATTTAGTCTTATCAAACGTGGGGTTCAGATTATTACTAAGGACAATGTCAACCTGCTTAAAACACTGTTGAAGGAGGGAATTCATATGCAGATTACACAACCTGAAGAGATTTGCTCTTTTGTTTTTGTCAGGACTCTAGGTTCTATATGAAATGAATGTATTTCAGTGAGCAGATGAGGTGTGATCTCCACTTGAAACAGAAAAGTCCTTTACCTCTGATCTGAGAGCTGCTTGCAAAACTGACAGGTACAGACGGTCCAGGGGCGTAGGTAGAGGGGTGCTGGGCCTGAGCCACCCCGTAGGGCTCATGGACCCCCTGCCCCCCGCTGAACTGTCCGTGCTCTGCTGAGCCCGAGCTAAACCCAGGTGTCTGATAGTGACGTGCCTGTAAGAGGAGAGAGGGAGGAGGCAAACGGTGTAATACGCCAAAATACTAATGTACAAATCTCTCGTGAACCACAGGGATCAGATGGTGGAAGATTTGGGAATAAAAACCAGGAACAGGAATCTATACTCAAACATATAATCTAGAGATGTTTTAAGACAAAAACACCCCTTTACTCACTGGAATCACGGCAGCTGGGAACAGCTGTTTGCTCCGCTCTCCGAGCAACGCACCGGGTCGACTGTGGCTGACGGGATTGCCTGAGAGAGGCAGAGACAAGGATCAGCTGACTAATTCTGATAACGTCAAAAGAATTACAATCATCCAGATAACCCAGATAAGGTCCGGCGATACACAGTGCTTGAAAACGGCGTTACCTTGAATGCTGAGGAGGTGCTGCCCCGCGTGCATGGGTAGGCTGGATTGGTAGCTTGCCGATGTCAATGTTGTGATATCACTAGAAAGGACAGGAAGCCCAAAAATGCAACTGAGTACCAAAACTACAAGAATAAAAGTTTGGGTTTAATAAAAGAAATGCTGTCATACCTTTATGTACTGAAATAGTAACAAAATCAGTGGCATCCTTACTACCTCTGCTCCTTTCTGCGCCTCTTTTCCTCTTCATGAAGTACTTTCTTGAGCTGTAAAAAGAGCTGGTGTTTCTCTTCTTGGAGTCCCTGAAGTTTTTCCCCCATCTTCATTACCTGCGTTTGAATCACAGTATAAGAAAACATGTTAACGTATATTTTGCCGTGTATTATTTATCCCAACCTGCATCGTACAGACTGCAGGAGAAATGTGTTTTTATCACTTTTCCAACCTGCTCTTTTGTTTCCTCCAAAGACATCCTCTCCTCTATTTCTTTTGTCCTCTTCCTCTCTTCCTCCTCCTTCATCTTCTGCTCCATCATTTTGTCCACCTCTTCCTCCTCTGAAAAAATTATATTCACGTCGTTCAGTGGTGGAAACATTCAAATCCCTTACTCGAAATAAAAAGGAAGTGTGATTAGAAATAAAATCTACTTATGCATAAAGGTGAGTGTCAGTTAATGTGTGTGTAAGCAGAGTAAAGCTTTACTTATATAGCACAGTTACACAGCGCTACACACACAAACATACAAATATGGAAGAATAAATTACAAAGAGACCAAACAAACTCAAACCCATGAATCTAATTTAATCCACTACAAGACCTACAATAAAACCCAGGTTTATGAAGCTTGCTGTATTCAGTCTAGTTGTTTTAAAATGAATAAATATAAATATTAAAGACATTTAAATATTGTATTGCACTACACTGTACAGGGTTTCTAATCTGTCTGTTTCTGATAATCACTTAAGGTGGTTTTAGGTCAATTTATAAAAACATTTTAGGCTTTATAACATCCCAAAGTGAATATTTTAGGTTGTGGAGCATTGCACATCATGAACAGTGTGTAATAACCACAATATTTCTTTATATTTAAGATAAAGATAAACAGAGAGTTACTGTATACTCTCATGTTGGGAGGCAGACAGTAAAGTCTTCACCACAGAAGGTAAAATGTTGTTTCTTGTCACATTTAACACTAAATACCAGGTGGGGGGCTCACTGCTACTTGTCCAGTGATTTAACACACACACACAGACACACAGACACACAGACACACACCTTGTCTCTTGCGCTCCCTCTCCCTCATGATGTGTTTGTGGAGGGCTCTGGCCATCGCGTTGGACAGCTTGGGTCTCTCCAGCAGGGCGGGCATGGTGACAGGCAGTGGAGGGGCCAGCTATCGTTTGAAACAACAAGAAACATCAATAAAACACGTACATTTATTACAGCAGGCTCGGTGTAAACAGTGGAAACACACCAAGTGAACACGGTGGAAGGCCTAACAGCGGGGTTAGCAGTATTATCTTCAGCTGCTGTGCACTCACTGTGTATTTTGGTGTGGTACATGAACGGGAGCGGTGTATTTTTAAATTTAAGTCATATATATATAGGGGGCTTAAACATGCAAAACCCCCCAGAGGCAACAACAGTGATATTGTTTAAAACGTGCACAACAGCGGACGGTAACTGGAGTTAGCTCGCAGCGTAGCACTGACGTTACGCGTCAGCTGTGACGCGTCGGGACGGAAAAAAGCACAAAACTCTTACTTTTGTTTCTTTGCGGGTCGTTTAACGAGATAAATTCAAAACGACTCGACTGCGTCTGCAGCAGAAAACCAGCAGAAAACCAAAACTTCGGTCCAAAATATAAACAGACGGTCGGTTTTCATCCCGGGTGATAATGTTGCGCTTCCGGTGGCAAGGATGACGTTCCCTTTTTTTTTCTCCCCCATCCGAATTGCATTCTGGGAATTGTAGTTCCCCCCCGCCTGTGTTTTGCTAAACGATCACCGATGTCAGTTTAAACCAGATATATAATCGATTATCGGTTATATCTCAATGGCTCTGAGTTTATACAATCTAAATCAGCAGACATAAACTTCCACTTTTTTATTTTAGACGCTTTATTGGATTTATTGATGCTGTGTATAGGCACATTGTAAGAAGCACATTGAAGTAGCCCTCATGTTAAAATGTCCCCTCTGTTACATATCCAGTCTTCTGCAAAACAAATAACCCAGATACTCACTTACTGGATTTTAGTCAGTCAGTTTAATTAGTAAATATCTTATTCACATGTGCAATCTGTCTGATAGATAACCCTCTTTAATTTTCAATGCCTAAAAATTGTATCAGATTAAACTGTATATGAAAATATGTCAATATGTCAAAATATTTGTATATTGTGCTCTTTATAGATAGATAGATAGAATATAGATATACTTTGCCTTGCTTCTTTCCCCCTACATTATATGCTTATATCTTGTGCCTGATCTCTTTAACTGCGCTCCCGTTCTTCCCATTGTGTAAATTGTCTCTGCAATGCTTAAAATAAGTGGACAAGTAGATCTTATGTTCAGTTAAATCAGAGTGGCGTTGCACAACTTGGAAAGGATCATTATTTGAGCAGCCACAGTAGCTGATATAAGGTAACTCATACAAATACATGAACAAAGGCTGAACGATATCAGCAATGCAGGGAGACTTTATCTGCTCAGTTTCCTTATTTATTTGCAATCCTGTACCGAATATGACCCAAGATGGACACTCAATAAAGACAAGAAACACAGATAACTTTTCATCACATTTTATCATGTATGGTCATGAGTGGAGAGAAAGAGCCAGTAATGCAGCTGGATACAGAGTTCAAATCTTTTTTTTTTTTTAAAAAAAAGGAGACAAACTTAAAAAAAAAAGAAGAGAAAATTGCACTCTTTACAATACCTTTAGAAATTAAGCCATCCAAAATTAACAATAATAACAACAATAATCATAGTAGCAGTCAACATAATAGTCTTACCACTGAAAGCAGAGGATGATTGTTAAGTCTGAATTCTATTATGCTCCTTGTTAAGGTCAGATGAGGGGCAGCGCACTAAATTCTCATTCACAGCCGCTAAATTTAAACCTAATAATTATCTAGCCAGTTCATTTTTTTTTTTTTCTAGGAAAAGAACTGCTGCAAAACAGTTATCCTTTACTCTGCCGGACACTGAAAATAACCTGCCTTCAACTGGTAGATGCCATTAAATTTCCTACCCTAAACTCTAAACGCACTTTATCCTCCTGCAAGCCAACAAAAACAGACACCCAATAACTATATTCATTGTCAATAAGAGCGGATTTGAACTCACATACTATGCCTCTCTTCTCTTTATCTGGGGGGTTACTAATTACGGCCTAATTCTAACATTATTTTGTTAATTCTTTCTCCACGTTTCCAGTAAAATATGCTCAATTATGACGCTAGAAAAATAACTGGCCACGTGAACCACTTAACCCAAGTCGCTACCGCAAGAGAAAAAGTGGAGGCAAATACAATTCAGACTGCAGAATAATAAAGACATAAGTGGATGGGAGAGGGGTAATGTATGAGTAGTGAAAGTGCATTCGACATATTTACTCTGGGAACTCTAGGCTGCTGGATTTAATATTTAAATGAATGAATGGTGGAGGTCTCAGAAAGGTGGGTAGTGGTTGGAGGGGGGTGGTAGTGGGATCAGATTTCCCTTTGGCTGCTCCCATACACACTCTCATCACTGTAGGCAATGTAGAGGAAAAAGTCCTCTTCATGGTGCTCCTGAGAAAGATGGGAAGAAAAAAAAAAAAGATATTAGTAAGTCATTAAAAATGTAGAGGGAGGCTCCTTTTAGTATGAGCGGGAAGAAAACAACAGGACGCGGCGATAAAGACAGAGTGAGTTCGATTCTTACCTGGTACAACAGTCCCATGGTAGCTGAGGTGGGTGGAATGACGTTGTTTACAAAGAAGAAGAGAGCATCTTCAGCTCGCAAGTGGATTCTTTTCCGGATGAGGAAGTAAAACTGTCCCACTGATAAAAGAGTATACAAGAGAGACGAGATTGACAAACGTGTAGATGTTTCTGTAACACACTGGTGTCTTTGAAATGTTGTCCGGGAGGTCGGCACATAACGCAACGCTTACCTGTCAGGTCGGAGGGGACAAGGTATTTCTTCTTGTCCAGATCTCCTATTCTGGCTTTGGGGGCTTTCTCCACAATTACCTGAAGAAAGAAAAAACAAGAATCAGCTCATTTAACAAACAAGCACATTTTCCGCTCTTTTACGCTCAATGCATCAAAGTGAGAAGAACCTTTTATAGTGTTTCAACTTTCTCAGAAAAGGGATCTGAGAACGCTGAGAATAGTCAATGAAGCGAGGACAGAAATACATTTCGCCCAGATGTGCCATTTCATTTACATATATTTATATATTAAAAAAACTAACCAGTATTCTGTAACGTTGTAGGTCCGTTATAACTAATACATTTATATGTTTACAATTCAGATTTATGGTTTAGTACAGAGGACTGGGGTGATGGCAAACTGTTTTTTTAAGTTTCTTCTCTGAAGTCTAAAAATAGTAAATAAATAATAATAAATAAATAATAAAACACACGAACAGTGGCGCATCATTGGAGGGCTTAAATTATGGACAGATATTTAAGCAGCAACCCTTTTTTAAAAACTATATTTTGTAAAGCAAAATAACCAAACATTAACGTTTAAAATTAAATTATTATCTTTGGGTATCTTTTGGACATTTGACATATAAAAATGTCTTTGGCTCTGAGAACTTGTGACTGTTTTTACTCGCTCTTGACATTTTAAAAGACCAAATGAGTGTTTGATTAATTAAGAAACAATCAATCAATGCTTTGTCCCAGCAGCACATCACGTTTATGACAGAGAGCAGAAATGAAAGGCAGTGAAAGTAGACAGCTAATTGTGGAGACAGTTTCCACCAAGTCACGCCAGGTCAGCTCGAGTATCCAGAGACCAGAAGGCAGTGTGGAGTATATAATCTATAGAGAAGAGCCAGGGCGACGTAAACAACAGCCCTGTCTGTGGACACAAACTATTTTAAGGTGCGCTGCTGTGAGCGTTTCAACACAGCCTGAAACTACACCCAGCTCTCCGACCAGTCCGCAACACTCAGACTGCGTCCTCCACTGATAAAGGCCACAGACGAGGCCTTTTATTAAAGAGTCACGATAAAAAAATAAATAAAAATAAACCCTATCTTTCTTATTGAGTCATGTTTCCTTACAATAAACACACCCGGAAGGATTAGACGAAGATCTCCGCCCGGCCTGCTCATCCTTTAACCTCTAACTTTACAGCTTCACCAGACAACTGCTGCGTTGTTTACCAGCTAAACGATTTAAAAACACACAAACACAATAAAACGCAGCTGCAGCTAAACCACGTACTCGCTGTTAGATGTCTGGCGCGCATCCTAAGTGTCAATAAAACCCACACGGACCGAGCCGAGCCGTGCTAACGTTAGCTCGCGTACTTACTGGGACCCTGTCCGGATACTTCTTCCTTATTTTCTCGCCTTCGGACCGCCTTTTCTCAAAAGGGTGCTCCTCTTTGTACTGGAACTTCATGGTGAACAAGAGGTGACGGACAACGAGTCGGTCACTCGTGGACTCTGTGTGTGCTGCGGGGTTTTCTCTCGAGCAGCGGATCAACTCGCTGCCACACACGACAAAAACAAACGATGCTAACTAGCCGCTTTTAGCTCGCCACAGCTGTTTAGTGCGACTGCGGCGGAGGGATACAATAACAACATGACGTAGCGGAGAGTCTAGTCCGCAGGGTGGGCTCGAGGCGATCCGAGGCCACGTTCGCGTTAACCGTGGAGCGGCGATGGGCGTTGAGTTCAAGTGAAGCGTTTTCCGTTCAAATTCGTCGTTTCGGAGCTGGTGTGAGGTGCACGACGCGGTTTTTCCGTGGGACTATTTTATTTTGACCAACCGCTGCGCGTAAAGACGTCGGGCAGGGCAGTGAAGAGGCAGCTGTCCTTGTCATATGACCGAGGCCCAGCAGTTAGCGGATACAGAGCAGAAAGTGAAAAACACAAGATATTAAAGTGTAACCGCGGCTGTTTGCATCGACGCCGCTCTAAATCTGAACCCAAACACACTAACGAGGTCCTCAGAGAACGGCATGTGTTGTATTCACTCATTAACCAAGCTATTAGTAACAATATTAACACAATTGGCTTGAAGTTTCGCAATTTCCACTGTTGCCACAACATCTGTGGGATCATCTTTAAACATTGAACACGTTTTATGGAAAAATGAAGGAGAGAGAAATGAATCTGCTTAGATATCCCTTAAATCTGCAGTGTTACCCTGCACCTGAATATAACCTCCTATAGGGAACAGTTCCCTACCTTTGAGCAACGCCACATTCACTTGGTAGGGGGCCAATGGCTGATGGGCCCCTATTAACACACACTGTAACTTATATTTGGCCCCTGAAGGTCTGGAGTATTTTTCCCCACTTCTCTACGTTGGTAATTCCCTCCCTTAGCAATAAAATGTACACTAATTAATTAGATAATTAGATCCATGAAAGACCTCCCCTATAAATCCTATTATATTAAAAGGGATTCACTTTATTAGACACTAAAAATAAACTATGAAAAATACTATAACATTTATTGCTTTATTGCTGTGTAATGATGGTGCATACTGGTTTTAATATAACTTGTGTCATTTTTTTTCAGCAAATGTTTTAGTAAATGAAGTTTGAGTCACATTGTAGCATTCATATGCTCATCTACTAAAACACTTATGGGAAAAGTTGCTAACCTGTCTATTGCAAGTCACCCACAGCTCTGACTCACTCATCTTGCTCATGTGACGTGTAAACTCCCCTTTCATAGTCTCATGGTTGGTTTTGTGCAAGGTGATATCAGACCGCGTACATGTAAAAACTCCCGTATGTGTGAATGAAAGTGAAACAGTCTTTTCTCTTCAGACCAGGATGTTATCAGATCATTTCAGTTGATATTTAGTTAAACTCGTACCCTTTTTATAGTAAAGTTACATACAGGATCATCTGATTTCCTCCACGTCAGGGACTTTGTAGGGATTGTCTAGCGCAGGACGTAATGTGCTGAGTCACTTGTGGACGGGAGTGTTTTCCAGGTCTTCGGCCAATAATTCTGCAGTCATCCTGGGAGGAATATTATGGATCTTATGACAGATCGACATCATGACTGGCAGATACTATTGAAGCTTTTCTTTGCTCCCTCCTCTCCTCCCTTTATTTCTTTAACATTCTTCAGAGGAGTGTTAGGTACTATCCTCCTGAAACATTCTTCTCCCACAAAAGCTTTTCATCTTCAGTGACAAATCTGAAGTAACGCCTATCCCTTCCACCACAAACCACAGGGCCTGCTCAGCAGCTACAGCTCAGTCCGGCCTCGTCAGTGTCCGACCAGCAGAACAACCTGCCCAGTCTGCATCTCACCTCTCCAGCAGTGCAAACCTGGACTGATGTCTCGGTGACTGGAGGGATATTCCTCTTCATATTCTTTGCTTTATGAGTCTTGAATAATGTTGTAACACTTGTTTTTATACTTCCATCCATGTGTATTATTTTACTGTCACTTAATTTGTTGAAAGGGTGTGAGATTCAACACCAGGCGTTATGCTTGATTAAAAGTGATGACATTCCTTGTGCAAGGCTTAGGAAGGACACAAATAAAAGAGAAAGTCCCTGTTCCCAGGAACTATAAACAAACACAACAAAGGAGGTGGAATTTAACATGGCAGCTGGTTGGAGCTAAAGTAAAGGAAGTACAGTTAGTCTAAACAATGACAGATGCACGTTTGCTATTTTAAGAAATTTGGTTTTACTTTCAAACCGTCATCAGGAGCAGGTATAACCCAGTGCACTCACAGCACTGACTGAACAGTAGATACTCAAGTGGAGAAACTTACCTGTATCCTAAAACAGAGGGCTATAAAGTCTCTTTAAAAAAAATAAACACTGATACTATTAGCCCCGCTAATAACAGCTAGAAATATATCATTGCCTATAAAAATAGAAATGACTAAATCTGCACAGGTATCCAGTGACATTTGCCACAGCAGGTATAAACACTCAGCGTCCAGTTTAATAGGTACACCTAGCTAAAACTAATGCAGTCTAATACAAGTCAACGTGCATGGTTAAAAGTGTTGATCTGTTGTACTGCATCATCATTTTTGAGGCTGTTGAACTGTATTCCACTTAACAAAAAGTGTTTCTAGTATTTACATATAAACGTGGTGGACAAAATATCAGAAATATAATGCAAACTACAAACTACAGCCTCAAAAATGATCAAACATGTTGAATGGACACCTCTCTCGACCTTGAACCATGCAGGTTTCTTGCACCCAGCAAACTGGCAGCTGAGTGTGAATCAACATACACACATAAAAAGTACAAGCTATGGGCCACATAGGTCACACTACAGCATTTAGACAAGCATGCCTTCATTTGTAGCGTCCACGTAGACACCTTCAGTAGGAGAAACAGACATGTCTTATTTGTAGTTTGCAGTTTGTTTTTTTTTTTTTTGGAAAAGCCTCAACCAAAACTAAAATGATCCACATCTCTCGAGCCGGGTAGGAATAATGCAGTTTCCTGTCACACCACATGATGGCAGCAGATTAGTAAAAACAGATTGCCTCAAGCCCAAACTGTGTGAATCCATTTGAGCTCTCTCTCTCTCTCTCTCTCGCCCCAGCAAAGGTGGTCAGTTGACAAAGCTGCAAAATGTCATGTTAAAACTGCAGAGTGAATTGGATTAAAAGAAAACAAGCTGGATAGTAACTGGTCGATACTGACAAGTGTTTTATTAGTAACACAGACCTGGAGACAGAGCCAATAAGAAGCCGCTGTGAGCCTTGACGAGACTGACATTGTTCAGAAGGCATTTAAAGACGGAGGGTCTAATAGTTGAACCCATACAGTAAGCGGAGCGGGTCGAAACTGAAAGGGGGGGGGGGGGCTGCGAATTCGAATCAAATACAAAACCAACTGCAACAAAAAACAGAAGGGGGGGAGAAAAAAAAAATTAAGTGCAATTCCTATTAGATGAAATCAGGATGGCATCGAATGTCAAAGGGAGAGAGCGAAATGTCATGGTATGCAGAAGTCATGTTATCATATATTATAATAGAGAAACAATCAGATATGGAAAGGCGGCACGGCAGTCCACGTATCGTTACAAGCCATTCTTTTTTTCTTTACTTTTCAGTTGTCTTTATCACCGAGTCCAATGACGAGCTTTGGGGAAAGAGTGAAAGTTATGGCTGAGAAAAAACAAAAAAGAAGAAATATCAGGCTGCTCGGCTATTTGTCCAGAAAAACGCCTGTGGATGGTACGTTGCAAGCAGAAGTCCATCAATTACACCATTTTAGTTCATCCATTGTTGTTCAGGGGGAAAAGAAACGTACCTCAGCAATTAATGAATCACCGTCGGGATGTGGGGTTGATCTAAAAAGGGGCGGTTTTCTAACTTTCCCCTACTCAGTTGCTCCGAGAGGTTAAGACCGTAAAATTGATGAGTCGTCTGCTGAAGTGCAATGTCTGGTGATGATGCAGAAAAAGAAGAAATAATAACGTAGAATTGTCTTTGTTGCTTTGCTGATCCTCCTCTTTCCCACCTCCCAATTGTCAAAAAAGTTTAAAAAGGGACTAACGAACTCGGCAAGCATACTCCGACTCACGTACACAAGCTCACCTTCATACGCACACAGTCAGTATCAGGAGCGATAAGGCAGAGAGGCTCCGTTTTGTTTTGGAAAAAAAAAAAAAAATACAAATAAAGAATCAAGAAGAAGAAGAAAAACAAAAAAACAAGCTGGCTCCTCCTCCCTCCTCAGTAGTTTCTGGGCTCTGATGATCCCGTACTGTTCATCCCGCGTTAGGCGGTCACCCCAACCCTCATCTCCCCAGGACACGTCTGAGAAGTTCAGAGAGGGCTGGTGGGTCGTCTGTGTGGGAACGGAGGACAGGATGGAAGCCGGCAGAGAGGAAGAGGCTGGTCAACAAGCCCCACCCCCTCTCGATTCAGCCAATCACCAGAGCCGGTGCTGGTGGAGGTTTCGACTGAGGACGGAGCGGACATCAGCAGTGAACCTAGGAGAGAGAGAGGCAATTAAACTACTTGACATATTTGTTTCACTAGCTTAGCCATTAAAGGAATAGCTTAACATGACATTAGCTTTCTTTCAGAGTGAGATGAGAAGGTTGATATCAACAGCACTTCTATGCTTCAAATACAAAGTGTGAGTCAGATGTGTTTAGCTTAATATAAAGAATAGAAACAGGTTGTAACAGCTAACATGGCTCTCTCCAAAGTGAAACACTATGCTTCCTTTTAAAGCTCACTAATAAAGTCTTTGCTTAGTCGATAAATAAACCAAAAAACCACAACATAATACTGACTAACAACAGTCTAGCTCTCAGACTACAGTGTGGGTTGCCAGATAAGGTTGCTAAAGGAAAGGGTTTGATTTTGTGATTACGGCAGTTGACTGTTCATCAACAAGAGATTTGTCACATTTGACATTTCTGTTTATGTATGCATTAAACAAATTAGATACAATCTGTTTGTATTAGTGAACATTATGGTGAGTCTACACTGAAAGCATCTTTCAGTCATACAGCTCGTGCACGCGTGACAGAAAAGATGCGCTCCTATTTCAATCAACACAGCTGTTTACACAGGCCACGTAACGGGGCTATGTACGTTAACACAACACAAACAAATACTGAACTATTCCTGAGAACACATTGTTACAGCTTTTGCAAAATTTGCCTCAAAATAGTTTTCAAAGTACACTGTGCATGCATATAGCAGGACAGGTAAGGGTTCAGCTAAAATAGATGGGACATTGTCAGTGATTAATCAGGCTGTTCAATATATCATTATGAAAGGAATGTGTTGCTTTTGTCAACAGCTTTATTCTGAAAACTGTCAGTAAGGTGTTACCTGCAGTCAACATAATAAGAACCAAATTAGAGTTTAACAGGTGTTGACAACTAAAATCATGTAGAATAGTCGCAGCCATTAGCTTACAGCTCTTAAATGACCACGGACCATTTGAATAGAGGCAGTGTGCACAAGTGTTTGCATTGTCTGTTTGCTTTCATGCCAACTTTATTACGCCTTTTTACCTTAGTGCATCCAGCATAGGCAGCAAGTTAAGAAGTGCTGTGTCACTAGGGTCGCTGAACCAGGACTTGATGGGTATTGCATTGTCTGGAGGGCAGAAAACAGCCAGTCAGTCGTGTCAGAGAAATGGAAAATGGTTGTGATTTTATGCTGCTCTGTTAAAGAGGCCACTGAGCGTTAGAGGAGCTGCAGATTTAATGTACTGTTACAGCATTTACAATACAAGCCTTGTAGTGAGAATAAGCCGCTCAGTTATTTGTCCTCTTCCTGCCTCATCACAAGGTTGATGTGTATAGGATGAGGTCTCATTTCATCTTGTATGTTAAATATGGATGACACAGAATACAAGCAGCTGAATACACATCAAAAACGGTCACAATACATTTAAGCTATAAAAGGTTTTTACCTTTGAATACTAATATAAATAAAGGACCTCCAAAAATATTTATGGCTGTTCTTGTTTCTTATGTGCAGGTCTGAGATTAATGAGGCAGAAGTTGACTCTTTACATTACTGAAAACTACATAAGTCAGTGGTACCCCAAATGTTTTACATCGGGCCATCTTTTATCATTTACAAATGAATCAGACATTTTTCAAAGCAGACATATTAAATTGGCATCACAGAAAAATAACAGGTGGAATTAATAACATTAACTAAGCTTCGCTCTAGCAATTAATGCAATCAGAAACTAATTAGCCGATTAGTTACACCTGTGTTTGACACTGAAGAAAGGTTGACTGAACTTTAAATTCTCTGCACATTTCCTCTAGTCACATCAAACCTCTCTGTTACGGCTCTGAGTTCGGGAACCACTGACGTTTATGAAGTTAAAAGCTGCATTTCCGATATTTCAAGTTTATCTGCTCAGTTTTTTTTCTTTGGACATGAGTTTAAAACATTGAAGGACAGACAGAGAAACAGTGAGTCCGACTGATGTATGGCAGGTACGAGTGACTCCATGAGGCTTTGGGTCTTACCTGGATGGCTACGATAAGCACCAGGCGAGTTGTCCAGGATGACAATACTGGAGAGGTCATCGTGTACTACAGACAGGTCTTTAATATAACTACCTAGATCCAATGTACAATGCTGGCAAAAGAAACAAAAACACAAAAGTCACCGACACCACTACAAAAGGAGAGAGAGTAAAAAGACTTCAAAAACCAAAGAGCCGAAGCAGTGTCAGCTTTAATACATGCTGTTTAAACACAGCAGTACCTGTCTGTAGTATCTGCGTTTCAGGATGTTCCTGTTGTTGTCCAGCTTGTCTGCCACTGCTGAGCCGTAGATTTCCATACTGGCTGTGAAAACCACCAGCTCATACCATTGGCTCACCTGCGTACACAGAGTACACAGCACACAATAGTATAAGTACACAAGTACTAGCAGAAAGTCTCTGAGGATTATTAGCCAAAACAAATAATGTTTTATGACATCAGGTAGTGTGAGAGTGAAGCACAATGGTGATGGTAAAGATGACATACAGGATTAAAAAGTGACCCAAGCAATGATGTTTCAGGTTCACAGTGTGCTTTACTGTTCCAGCAGTGACACTGATCACAGACCAACACTCACCACTTCTAAAAAGAAGTCGACGTGTGGCCTTTTATGTACGAAGAATCTGACGGGGTGTTTGTCAATGACGACCTGTGGAGAGAAACAAACACAGGAACCTCGGTCATTTACATAAACTGCATTTAGGCTGGAATGTGTATACGAGTTCAAACGTGTGTGTATGTGTGCGTCTGAATGCCCATACTTTGAGGATGAAGTCTGGCGGCGTGCCAGGTCTCACTGTGGGTCTGAGGACCCCGTCATGGTGAGAGTGAATCAGCGTCTCATCCAGATCCAGAACCAGAATCTTCCTCTTTACTGCATCTGGAGTTCATCGTACAATACAGACACGTTTGACACAGTCCACTCACATGCACACAGGAAACCAGGTTACTGGGAGAAATTAGGTTACACAAGAAATTGCGCAACATGTTAACATGCATGGTTACTGTAAAATTTGAATATACATGCAGCAGGCTAGTAATCCGTTTTCTCCTTCACCACAGCTTAATTTTGAATTAAGATTTGCCTATTTTAAGCTTATTAGTGGCAAGAGAAGACGCTGCTCTTTGATTTTTTCATAGCTCATTTGTGTCTGGATTTTACAACTGGTCAACTTCTTAAACAGGGTACCTAATGTCAGTCTCACTTTTAGTTGGACTTACATTAGAAAGGTCCAGTGTGTAACGTTTAGGATCTATTGGCAGAAATGGAAAATAATATTCATAGGTATGTTTTTATTAGTGTATAATCGCCTGAAAATAAGAATTGTTTTGTTGCTTTTCTCCAGGAGAAATCTAGCTGGGGATATTGGGTATCTTTGACTTCTTACACTCATCTCAGAAACCTGGGGTTTTGTTTACTACAGGAAGTCCACTGTAATCGAGTTATGAGTAAACGCACTCATTGTGACCAATTAGAAAACTCTGTGCCAGCTTGGAGTCACCAGAGTGCCCATACTACTAGTCGTTATACTGTGAAACT